GGCAAAAGGGGACAACAATACAGAGGAAACTGGTTTACTCTCTCATCTGTGAGGAAAAATTTATTGCAAGAGTTGCTGTCTTTTATGCTCCGTGAAAGTACTATAAATACACATTAAATAATGGGCGCTTCTTGTGCCAACAGACTAACTTTGCTATACAGATCCTTTTCCTTTTTGAGATATATTTCTTTGTTTTTTTCTTGGTCTTCTAGGTTTCTGGTAGAATTTTTCCAACAAAGTCAAAATACCATGATCATTTTGGACAATACTAGTTAATGGATCACTAACACAACGTGTTAGAATTGCTCAAAAGGCAAATGCAAGCAAATATATTCAGATTCTGTAACTGAATTATGACAAAACTATTATTATTCAGAAACAGCAGAGCAGAGGTTCTGTAACAGATGTAATAGTTGCCAGGTAATAGTGAAAAAAACAGTCAAGAGATTAGGGGACTAACCAACTCCTCTTGGTAAGAAGTAGAAACTCTTTTAGATTATTCATGGCTATGACAAACAGAGCAGGCCTAAGCAAATGCATCTATAATACACAAACATTTTAAAATTTCAGCCTAAAAAATTGCACATATCTGAAAACTGCTGGAGAACTTAGAAGAAACTGAATGCTCTTAACTGTGTCTCAGAGTATCTCTTGAATGTTTGAAGATGTCCTACTTGCCCTTCATCATCTCCTATTTCTCTGCTAGTGCTGAACACAACCCTATCTGTGCGAGTACTGCTAATAGTGTCAGCACAGGTACTGTGAGTTAAAGCTATTTCCACATCAGCAAAAGGAAGTATGCCCCATGTTAAAAAGCCCTTGTTACAGAAACACCATATTACAAAATAATAAGAGAATAGTTATTGTTTATTAGGGAATTGGTCACGAAGTCAGCACACAGCACATCGATTTATATTCCTTTAAATTTTAGCTTTTGAATTTCCTGGGCATTTTACTTTTATGTGGAATTCCTACCAGATGTAGGTGGAGTGATTTTAACAACCATAGACTACAAAACACTGCAACTGCCAAATTTTGTTTAAAATAACAGAAGCTTCAGAGCCCCAACTGCTACATCATTAAAAGCTGCACGAGCAATTTCTGTCCAGGTTGCACACTGCCTTGGAGACCCATTTCTCCAAAGCGAACTGCTTCACAAGGAGATGGAAATCAGAAGAGCTGCAGTTTAACAACTAAATGTTTGGCTCTCCCCTTTTCAACTGCAATTTCATCCTGTAAGCAAATATGTGCACTAAGCACAGTCAATACACAAAAATGTAAATGACTTCTCCACAAGAAAAGCAGCATTGAAAAAGAATTAGATGTTCTTGGAACCTGCCGAAAGATTTAACAGGATGAGTCAAAGCCCTCTATTTAAATATAGAAAATAAGTCATAAAAAAGCTAAATGTTGAAAATTATTCAGATAGAGAGAAATCCTTTTTCTCCCACTCCAATGAGCTGGCAGCTGCAGTGCTCCGAGCGCTCTTAGTGATGCCGAGGGTCCGCTTGCCGAACGCTTGCCGTCCTTGCCAGGAAAATACCACAGCTGAACGCTACAAACAGCTCTGTTAGCCAAGCCTCACATCTGCACACACTTAGAAATGCAGTTGGTCGCTCAGAAATTTCTGGCAAACGTGAAAATATGCGTAAGTTTGGTGCAGTTTGTGCAGCTACACCTGGCTGGTGGGCGCCCATGCTGCACGTGCTATGGATGCAACCTATAGCCACCTGCCCCTCTGCTGGGGCAATTAGTCATTAGCAGACTGAAATACAGCAGTTTGATTTATATATTTATTTCTTTAAAAGTGTATGTTTCATTTCATCATAATGAGGTACAACTTGGAATAAAAAAAATTACCATCATATCAGAAAATACTATAATCACTTGATACAAAGAACTGCAAGCAAATTAAATCTATAAAAGCTTCAGAAGAAAAGTCCCTATGATTGAATGCAACCATTCTTCTAAAATGATATTTAAGACTCCTTAATTAATATAAAAGAAAATTTGGAGAATTTTTCAATCATTTTTGTGTTAGAGACTGATAGCAGATATGAAAGTACTGAAGTCCTAGGAACACGATAAGGACTCCATGCTGCAGAGCTGAGGTTTCCCTCTGGTTTGTGTTCAGCTTCTCAGACCACAGGATTTTAGTGTCTGCCGTCTTTAACTGCGAGGGTGGCCATGCGTTGGGACCCCCCTGCCACCTCCATCACCCACGTGAGCAATAAGGTGGTCACACATGACAAGGCAATGGCACCTCCTCCAGCCAGCGCTGAACACCCCAGTCTCTCACCAAACCTGTGACATTGGCCAAGCACGGAGACAAATGAGAAGTGGGGACGAGGCAGGGCTGCCCCCTTGTCCCTGTGCTGGAAATCACCCCGTGTCCAGGGTCCCGCTGATGCTGGGACACGAGCCCATGTTTGCTGGGTGCTGCTTTGAGGCCAGGAGAGCCCCAGGGACATCTCAGAGCCACCAGCAATTGGTCCCATCCTACTCATCGCAACGCAGTTTCATCAGCTCTAGATATTTTTTTAAGGAATGAAAGTTTTTAAGGAATGAAATGAAGTTCAAGGGAAAATAAAGCCTGCGACAGAGGGGGTCACTGGAAAATGAAGGACCTTTCCCTTTAATATTGTTTCCACAACAACAGATGACATGTTTGCTTTTCCTGTAGCGTGGGTGACACAGCATCACTTGGCAACCGGTTAAACACCTTCCCATTTATCACTCCCTACAGATTGCGGGATGCAGTAACTGCCAAGAGATATACACTGTTATAATCACAGCTTCAAAAACATTACTGCACTACTTTTATTGAGCAACCTGCTGGCATTATATACTGCAATCACAAACAGAGTGAATCAGATAAAGTGGTATGATGATAATTAATGTGCTATCATAAAAGTGGAATACATGCAAGATTTTAAGCCATGGAAAAATAAAGGCCCCAGTAGAAACAGATTATGTTTTTTTTTCACGATCCTGAGTAGAATTAACATGAAGAAATTGGCAAACTGAAGTTGGGCATTTGTGTGAAAAAAATTGTGATATACTCTAAAAAAGAGCCAAAGTGGCAGTTTTTTCAAAAGTTCTATTAGCTGATTTTTCCTCTTTCATCACATTCAGGTGAACAACAACCCACAACTGCAAGAAGCAGCACACAGAGAAATCAATACTGCTCAGAAACAGGCAACGGAAAAGTAAGATCCCTCACTTGGGAATGGAATGACCTTCAGGAAATCCGGCGAGTCATCTGATTACAACTAAGCATCAAAATTCAGCTTCCCATTGCATTTTTAAGCAACCCTTGCAGAGGTGGCAAAAAGAGTCATCTTAATTTAAGACAGATTTTCTTCCATTTATCCTAAATTTTGAAGTCACTAGATTTACTAGGAGAACCGAAAGACTTTTAAAAACAAGTTTCAAGATTCACATTGCAATTAAGGTGCTTTTTCTTTTCTTAGATAAAATCTTCTTCAAAGTTCTGTGGACTCTAATAGGATCAGGATTTCAACTAATGTAGCTTAAACTGTTACTTTTGAGCTTCATATGGGGTTTGCCCACTAAGCTCCTTTGACTTTTGGACTTTGCAGCCACTTTCCACAGTGTTTCTTTCCGGAGACAGAAGCAAAGAACAGCACAAGGGGGATAGGAAAGTAGTACAAGGTCTTTCCACACACACACAAAAAAGTTTTTGTTCTTTAGTCAGCATGTGCTCTTCTGATTAGAGAAAAAATAAGAGAGGCTAAATAAATAAAAAAAAAAACAGATAATTTTCAATACCAGTTAATATAGCTTAAAATTAGTACTTTTGCTTGGAAAAAAATAGAAAAAAAAACCCCAACGAGTTTCTGTCACTTTTTAAAAATGACAAGACTACTAAAGATATTTTCCTATAAAGGATTATTTGTAACTTTAATTTGAGGATGTAAAGAAGTTAACTTTTCTTTTGCTATACTACACATGTAAAAAAAAAAAAAGATCAAAGAAAGAAAAGAATTGAGATTCAAATTCCATTTTTAAGCAAAAATGACAATGTCTTCCTGAGTTAAAATTAATCCTTTAATGATGAATTTCAAAGGTTTAAATACTTTCCGTGACCTTGGCTTTAAATAATTATGCCAAGCAGAGCTTTCCTTACATTCAGAAAAGATTCTGAATTGTTGATCACAGCCATTTTAATGGCTTCAGGCTGGCTGATTTCCAACATAATCCTCCAAATGCTGTTTAAAATTACAGACCAAGAACCTGATGCAGGTAAATGAAATGTCAGTTCCACAAAGGCGCTCAAAGAGCACATGCATAGCGTTAATTTGTGCCACTATACATCACTTTGCAATAAAATGTATCCTTTATTACATTAATACATGCAAAAGATCCTTAAAAAAGTATATGCTTACAGAGAGGCAGAGTTTACCATAAATATTAAGAATGTGTTTTAAGCTTGGGTTTTAAAATAATGCTAACATGCTCTAGTTCCCATCATCCCTAATGTGGCAAAATCCTTGAATTCCTGATGCCTGTAAAGGACAATTCTCCACAGCTGGTTTGAAGAGGCAGCAAATATTTCGCACAGTGCGTTGACAAAATACACACGAGCAAGCAAAGGCAGCCCAAGCATTGCTAGTAATTAGACCCATTTTGCTTGGTGTTTTAGTTTGAACCTTTCCCCACTAAAGGACCTTTCCTCTTTCTGATACAGGGGGAAAAAAACAATTTAGGCAGAACCTCCCCTTCCTGCTCTATCTATTCCAATGGAAGGCAAGTCATTAGCCTAGTCCTTGGCCAACTTTACCTTGGGGAACACCTGAATTTTTAAAAATCCCTTCTGCTTCTACATATTGCACATTTACTTGGTTTCATAAACTCAAGAGACGCCTAAATATTTTTCTTTAAAATGATAAATAAATAAAAATGTTATTTATGTGACTTTGGGGATGACTGTTCCCCTTGGGCTGTGCCACGAGAAGCTCGCCAGCTGAATCTCTTACCTTTTCCAAGGCTTTCTCCGTTTCTGCAGCATGCACCTTCTTCAGGTCTAATGTCATTTTTTCTGCCTCTGCTTTGAGCTTGCTCACGGCTGCCTCGTGCTCTCGAGCTGCCCTCTGCTTTTCTTCCTCCCGCAGCAGGCTCAGCTCCACGAGCTGCTGCTTCCGCTGAGCATTCACCTGCACAAGCTCTTCCCTCAGCTTGTGGATTTGGGCCTCCATATCACAGATAACCTGAAATAAAGAACAAAAAAAAGGTTAAAAAAAGAGATTTCCTCAGACAAGCTTTTTATTAGGGTAGGGAGAGGATTTTCTATCCCTCTCCTCTGCCTCCCTTCTTGCTTTTCCTCCTCCTGCCCTCCTCTCCCTACTTGCAGATGAATGTGGCTCTCTCCTGCCCAAAGCACGGATAGGGAAAGGAGTTTTACTTTTTCTAAAGGTAACGAGGGAAGAAATTCAGGTTTGCACCCACAAATACCTCTTCATTCCTTCCTAAATTTCGTACCTTTGCATTTTCTTCCACTCATGCACAAAATTACAGCAAGCATTACATGCACTTATAAAACACACACTACAAACTACAGGTGATGTTCACAGCTTTTTTTCCCCCCTTTCAAGAAATGATCCACCAGCTTTAATAGGGATACCAGTATATCATCAACCATTTATCACTCACTGTAACACTATATACACCATGCAAGCTTTAATAGGGATACCAGTATAACATCAACTCACTGTAACACTATATACACCATGCTTTGTCGTAAGCCTAATGTGCACAAGGTGCATCAAACGTTGCAGGACTGATTTGAAAGTGTGAAGAGTGCAAGTTGTATGCTGTAGACCTGTTAAAGGAAAATGTGTTATCCTTCAAGTACACAGAACACACACGGATACTGTAGAGCAGCAAAGACTGCATTACTTCAGATTTATTCTTGCAGTAGTTATTTTTCTAACTGCATTTCTTTTGCAGCTTCTTAAAGAAGGTGCATTCTGAATCAGTGAAGTCAACTGGCATCCTTACAGCTACGTGCAATACATTGACCTTGCAAACATGTATGTTATAATTCATAAATATACGTCTGAAAAGGAATAAAACACAGTATTTCTATAGCTTCCTCCCTTCCCCTTTTTCGCCATGTTTCCCAAGCAACTTGGCAGTTGCCTTTCATAAGGGATGTGATAACAGCAAGGTGACAAATCGATGCCCCACCATGCACAGCAGTGGATTCACTTCAAATTTACTAAAGGTTTCCTAAGAAAACCTGCTTTGAAATTACTCTATTTTTTAAAATCCTGTTGGCTCTGAGTGCCAGTTACTGCTTCTAGAACTCTGAGCTGATCTAGCTCGAACTCCTGTGTTTCTTCTTTAGACATTTTTACTGTGGCATCTGTAACTCAGCTAAACTATTTATTTGCCATGTCTGAGAACCACAATACAACATATCTTTGAAAAATGAAATATTCATTCCTGACCAAAGTTGGGAAGTGGATGACTACATCAGAAATATTGTCTAGTACATTCAAGTACCAGGATAGATTGCTATGACAAATACTGTGATCCAAGAGAGAAAATTGGGAGTTGAAAGCTTGCCTATTTTTTCAAACTATTTGAACTATATGGTGCTATAGAAGCCCTGATGATGTCTCCCTTCAAAACTTCAACCATTTCAATAAACTATCACAGATAAAACACGTATTAAATAATAAAATATTAACTATCTCAAAGCCAGTCTTTGATAAGTTTCTATGGTTCCAGGCTTTCCTAATTACACACGGGCATTTTTCCCCAGCATGTCAAAGGTAAAATTCTATGTGTGCAGAGATGAGCACGTCATTTGTATACAGAAGTATAACGGAGAGCACATACTTCAACTATAGCAGTATTATTTTAAACATATGTTCCAAAGACTGTAAATCTGTACTACATCCTTTTCTTCCTTTCCTTTCTCTACACACACTTCATTTTTAAATAGAACTTTATACAGTCACAAGGTGAAATACATTTTAGTATATGATCATCATCTACAATAGACCTTTTAGTGCTTTTCGAATTTTTTTTTTAAACAAATATTTCACTCAACTTTCTCCCCCTCAATCTCTAACTAAAAGTTTTCTTAAACTTATTACATTCCTCAAAAGATCCCGAAAAGCTTTGACAAATCATTTAGGATTAGGAATCAAGACGACCTCTTAAAATGCAATGAAAATTCACACAAATCATACCAGTGCCAAAACGGACACTGGGTGAAATCCTGAGGCGAGTGTTATTGCTTCCTGCTTTGCTTCATTCTGCATGCAGTAACTCTGATACAAGAGCATTAGAAAACTTAATAGCACAATATAACATTTTCTAGTGACACAGGGAGACTCTAAAGATTCGGATTCTGAACAGGGGAGCCAAAAGACATGGGGCTGAACGGTACAAGAAAAGTAGCAGTAATTAATATGCAAAGGAGTATTAATGTTGGACCTAATAGATGGCAAAACCCGATTTGGTTCTATTAGGAAAGAAGAAAGACTGAAGACGGGGTGATGGCAGCGAAACTAATATGATTAAAGGAGTCCTTTTGGAGCAACTTCACTGCTAGTAAGATGATGTTAAGAGACATCTAATCTCTCCAAAATGACTGGAAAAAGCTTACATTGACAAGAACTCTGTCTGTGATCCCCAATTACTTTAAAATAAGTCTAGTTCTCACAGACAGATTTTTTTTTTCTTTTTTATAAACAAAGTCCCTGGCAAAAGTAGCTTACAAGAGAACAACTTGCTGGATAAGACAACTTTGTGACATGGATATCTTAAAACTATTGAAGGAAATGAATCCCAAACTTTCCATCACTAAGATTCTGCTATTCCAGATGCCAGGTTTAATGGACTCTATTACACTTAAATATGGGTGAATTAACATTAGCAGAAATAGCCTAAGATGACATATTTCAGTTCAGAAAAGTCCATGAAATACAAAACTTAAGAGCAACTGGCCTTCCTTAGCAATACCAGGGGAAAAAGAATAAAGATACAATTATGAAATCTCACTCCTCATGCGCGAGATCTGACAGTTTCCTTTCTCTGTTTGTAAAGCTGAACCCTGTTTATCAGTAGTAATTTGTCACTTTCTTTCTAGCTGCTCAACCTAGGTTTTTGAGCCATGCCTGCCAAACTGCTCATATGGCCCCAGTAGCAACCTGCATATAAGAACTACTATGAGAAACACAAACCTCAGATACCCCAACAGATCTAGTTACCTGCTAAACATAAGGCCTAGACGTTAAAAAATATTTCACAGCACATAATAGGGTCACAATGTTATGGCTACTTGCTACCATTTTTAGACCCTAAATTATTTTTCTTTTTAAATAAAAAACATTGAAGTTCATAGTGATTCCATGAGACAGTCATATCACAGCAGCATAATGCAAACAAGAAACTATTACAACGACTGCTAATCATCATAAAGGAAAACAAGCAGGAAGAAAACAATATCTTCAAGAATATCCCAGATGGAACAAAAATACATCAAGTGTGTGACAGGGTAGAGATTTCATATGGATTTCCATGGCACATGTGTCAGTCATAGACCTGAGGAAAGTACCAGCCAAGACGGACATTTCTATTTCTGTTTCAAAGAGGTAACTTAGAATAACTAAGAATATCTGTGCTGAAATAGTGTCATAAAACGGGTGGGTCATAAGCCCACAGAAAAAAAAAAAGAAAAAAAAAGAAAAAAAGAAAAAAAAAAGGTTGTTCCGTCACTTTGGCCTATTTAAAACACCAATAAAATGTACTGCATGTTATTTGGAAAGAAAACATGTGCTCTTAATTTTAAGAAGTAAATTGCATAACAAGATATAAAGCTGGCGAAGAGTTTAAACTGAAATCTATTGCTGCAGTCTCAAACTGCTACAGTGACATGTAACAGAGATGAAAAATGGACTGAATGACTAACAGTCCAACTAGAAAAAGTATATTCTCTTCATTTTTCAGGAGCTCCTACTGCAACCACATGAAGCGTTTATTTGGATCTGCCTTTAAGGAGGAGACTGGAGCATGACCGAGTACTTTATATTCCCAAGGATGGAAATAATATATTCCATTCTTGCTCTTTCAATATATTCACACTAAACCACATCCACTCCATCCCAGTATTTAATTTCAAATAGTGTTGAGAGCATTTTAAACCCACAAAAACAAGGAAATGCAGAGTTAAGATAAAATCCACTCTTGAAGTATTCCCAGGGCCCAGATTTAAAGTGATTTAGGTGGTGCCTCAGTTGCATTTACAGTAAGTTAGTGATTAATATCCCACAACAGATGAAGTTACAGTGAGACTTCATTCCTCTACACTCAACTAATGTCACTGAACTAATAATCACTTTTTGTGCACAACTGCTGTGTGGACGCAGTGGCACTGGTTGCAGGGTACCTGGCCAGTTTCCCGACAGTGACATTTCCATGGCCTCTTGGGCAGATGACTGTGACAAGAGGTGCACAGCAGGGCTGCAAAGAGGAGTCCTCTTGCTGGAGCTGCATTCTACATCTGAAGGGACAGCAAATCCAAACTGACACTTTAAAACAATTTTGAATTAGCAATTTTGAATTAGTCATTAACATTTAGTAACTTAAGTAGTCTTAATGCCATCTTCTAAATACAGTTTTATAATTGACTCGCAACTCCACTTTAATCAACTATATTAAAAAGGTTTTCAATATTATGGCAACTTCAATTAAAATATGCTAAGAACTTCTTATCTACTTCTTCCTGAGACTGTTAAAATCATTAATTTGTCAATATTATGAATCCTTAGATTTAGAGGTACAAATAAGCTTAGGAACATAGAAGTATATGAGAAACTATTTTTAAAATATCCTACCAAGCAGTATCAAGCAAGATGCTTCACAGGGATCCTATCACAAGATATAAAGAGCTGAGCTTTTAGGGGACATCCCTGAATATCAACCCCAGACAATCATCACAGCAGCAAGAAAAATAGAAACTGTATTTGGGTTGTAATTGATGAAAGAGTAGGATGGGAAAGGAGAAGAGAATCAAGACTGCAATTTCAAGGGAAAACATGGAAGTTACTAACACGTACCTACAGAAGAATGCCTGACTAATGTTAGTAGGGTTTCTGCATTTATTCTTTTACTATTTGTGGAAGTTTTAAAATATTCTTGCTTTTTGTTCCTCAAAATGTAAAGTCAAACGCAAAGGGATAAAGGCATTGATCTG